AAATAATTATAAATAATATATATATATATATATATATATATATATATATATATATATATTCATGAATTATTCACACAAAAAAAAAAATGCAAAGGTTAATGATTTAATTGGCGAGAAATCCATCGTCGCAAACAATTCAAATAATATACAAAAACCCCCGAATCCGTTATGAATGAAAAAGATCCTTGTTTCTATAAATTTCTGCCGTATTAGTTCTTATTTTTACTACAAACTTTCGTCTGTTCCTACAGACATCTTCAGGTATGGAATAGATGTTGTTCTTGTTTTTTCTCTTAGTAATAAGAGGACAACGAAAATATATGTATTGTTGTATCCGAAAATGCTATTGAAATGAGTTATTGTTTTTGGAGCGCGCAGTAGCAACGCTGAGTTTGATTTTAAATTTTTTTAAAGTTGTGCGTTCATGTACAAATATGGTGATATACGAATTTTTTACTGGTAAATTTTCTGTCAAAGTGGCATGAACTATATTGTTCAATAATTACAGTAATGTCGCACTTATTATCCAAAAGTCGCATATGGATCATATATTTTAATTATAATAAACGTGCAATCAATTTACAAATTCATGAATTATTCACACAAAAAACAAATGCAAAGGTTAATGATTTAATTGGCGAGAAATCCATCGTCGCAAACAATTCAAATAATATACAAAAATCTCCAGATCCGTTATGAATGAAATGATCCTTGTTTCTATAAATTTCTGCCATATTAGTTCTTATTTTTACTACAAGCTTTCGTCTGTTCCTACAAACATCTTCAGGTATGGAATATATATATATATATATATATATATATATATATATATATATATATATATAACGATGTATAATTTTATATATCAACAGTATTTAGAAATATTCTTCTCTTACTGATAGATTTTTTTCACTTCTGTGGCAGTGGAGACTTTTGGGATGATTGGCCTCGTTCGATGGCGTTCCATCGGAGGATTATATTATATATATCGATTATTACGATACATCGAGAAAACGAAGTGGCTTTGCAGCGTGTCTCACTGGCGATCGGTCCGAAAAAATACGTTCGCCAATTGCGACTAAAGAGGAGGGAAAAAAAAACATTTTGTTTATAGTTACTTTGTTCAATTTTTTTTCAATAAATAAATTTTTATATTTATAACATAATGACTATTGGAAAAAAAAGGTTTTTGTGACGTGTCTCATCGGTTGAAACTAACTAAACGTCTGACCATGTTCGTCACTGTATGAACTGACGTCACTAAGAAGATGTCATCGTTTTAATCATCTATCAGCCAAACTAATATATTACAGCCTTTTTCAAATACCCTGTAGGACAGCAGATATAAATGTTATCTCGCTGCCGAAAAATTTCGGCTCATTGATCGCGCATACGCGTGTGACAATGTGTCGCCCCCGTATTCTGGGGTGAAACGAATGGTGTTTCTAACGCTGCTGGCCACGGCCCGAATGGTGATTTGGACGACGCGATAGGAGGAAGTCTTGACAATCTTCTTTCTCATCAGGATCTGATTCGATTCTTTGAACATCAGCTCAAGATGAAGATAAGAACTGCTAGAAAACGCTTGCATTCGACAGTCTTCAGCGAAAGGTGGGTGAAAGAGGTGAGCTTGGTTCATTTGAACGGGGCTAGCGTTGATTTTCTCTTTTAGGTCAACCTACGTCACATCTGGGCGGTTTCCTGCGAAGCCCTCCCCTTGGTTAGGTTAGACAAGCCTTAGTGTACCTAGTTAATGTGAGTAAGTGTTGTTCCTGGCCTGTTCCCGCCTGCCTCTTTGGTTATGATTGTTGGCCTGCCCTTTTTCATCTCGACTGGGTCAACTTTATATTTTCCCATGCACATATTATTTTTTATCCTTTTCCCACACTCGTAGTGAGAGAGCTTCTTGATTTTGTCCCATGGTCAGAATACAAAAATTATCTCCTTCTTAAGGGTTAGACGAGCCCTACTAACATCAGTTATGTTTAATTTGATTTGTGTTAATATTTCAGTTTGTTACTAGGTTCCCATAGGTCCCTGCCTAGAGAGGATGTGGTATTATGGTGCATGGAGGATTGATTGTTGATGGACGAGTTCTTGTGGTGAATGGGTAAATTGTAGTGATCGTGAATCGGATTAGGTAGATATGATAGTTAATGTTGACCAGCCTAAACCCCACCCCATTTATTTGTTGCATAATAAATATCTAGAAATTTGTCGCCATATTTATTACAACGTTTCGGCCGGTGTACGCTCCGGCCTTCTTCAGGTGGTTGGAATGTCGAATGTTTATTTCACCCACTGTTCTAGTTCTACGTGCCATGTTTGATGGATGTCAGTTATCAGTTATCTCCTGTTAATTTCCCTCTGAAAGTTCTCCACTGCCTTAACCAGTTTGCATTCACACTCTTTGGGTCCTGTCACTGGATCTAACCAACGCCTTTATCCACTGTGCCATGTGTCCTTGAGGACATCTGGGTATGAATTTCTGGGTATTATAAACCTAGTGTCTTCAGCAACCATTTTTACCAGTGCTCATATTGCAACTTTGTTGTTATCATTGCTTTTCTCTGGCACTCCTTAAAATAGGATAAAGAAATTTAATATGATTCTTCTAAACACAAATGACACAATCATCAACATGTGAAAATATCGTAAATAACCAAACTAATTATTGTTATATAGTTTGGCGCAAATCCTTCAAAATACTCAATTCTTTACTAATCTGTGATTTCATCATTGGATTTAATGTTAGGATCAATGAGAATTTCGGCTTGTGTTAATGATACTATCTTCTTTTTTTTGTAAACGACTTAATCATTATGCAACATTTTATATTTATTCCATGAATTCTTCCCACATGCACAACTGGGCAAGCGTCGGTCTTTGTCGCCGTCAAAGGGGCGCCGCAGAAAATTCTTCATTCTGAAGCTATCTGTAAGCACGTGCCAGCCTGCGGAGGATCCAGTGAAAATTGAAATACTAGTTAAGAGAAGATTGACGCTAATTACATTAAGCACTCTAACTGGCCTAGTACTTTGCACATTTGAAATCCACACTATTAATTAGACATTGAAATCGACTAAACTCTGCTTGGCCATTTAAATATATTTTCTGGCACGACTTCTCCCCTCATACACACATTCACACACACACACATTCACACACACACACACACATATACACAAACATATATATATATATATACATATATATATATATGTATACATATATATATATATATATACACATACATATATATATATATATATATATATATATATATGTATATACACACACACAGTACATTTCAATACTTTGAGGGTACTATTGGTAACTTTTTAAATTAGCCAATAATAGTTGCTTTTTACTTTAAATAAGAGAAAATTATACATGAGTAAAAAAAGAGAAAGATATGATTTTTTATTCTAAATTTTATTATGACAAAAAGGAAATGTATTTTATTATTAAATTTTGCTCTCGTCAAAATATCCTCCTTCAGTCTTGATTACTACGGCACAAATTTTGGCATTTGTTACAAAAATTACTCAAAGCACAAAATTTGATACTAGATTCCATTCTATTCATTTTTCAGTGACTCTCAGAGTCAGTCTTTGGATGGAAAGGTTTCACTCTTCTGACAAGTTCATACCATGTTAATTCTGTGTGAGGATGGCTTCAAACTTTTATACAGTACTGTTTCCTCCTCCTCCTCCTCCTTCCCCTCCTCCTCCTCCTCCCCTTCTCCTCCTCCTCCTCCTTCTTCTTCTTCTTCTTCTTCTGTGAAACGCCCTGTCGCCTGAGGTTTCGGAATACGCCGATGGTGCCTCTGCAGAGAAATAACCCCAACGAATGTGGCCGTGAGTGGCGACCACTAATGCTTGGGGACGGGATCCTAGTGGTTGAGGATTTCAGCGGTCAGGCTCAGGTACTACCGATCCCCAACACACCTCTTTGGCCCTTACCTGGAGTAGAAGGGCGGTCGGAGAGGCCTGATCCAATCAATCGGCTTGTCAGGTCATGCTCTAACACCTATAACGATACCAAATTGAGTACTCTAGGGAAACTTTATCCAAATGAACTATTGGATGAATAACAACCCAACCTAATGTATAAGCGTTAGAAGGCGCTGGCTGAGCGTCAGTCGGTTCATAGAGACATTGACGGTTGAACATAACTGTTAATCCATCAATTTGTTCACTGAAAAGTTGGGTAGGGCAACAAATATGGTGACAGCTGCTCCAGGTCTCTCACCAATACTAGTTGGTCTAGCCCTGACCTGTCAAGGCGATTGGATTTTCCCCTTGATATGTCTGGGGAAAGTTGGGCTTCGAGGTAGGTGGGGAGCACAGGCAGTGAAATTTAATTCATATAAATTATGAATCAAAATAAAAAAAAAACAAGTGATACTTTTCGGACTCACATATTGAAAAAGAATCTAATATGGATTACCCAAGATTTTTGTACTCGAGTCTTTGGACGAAACAACTTTTTCGAGACTGTCACTTTTCTTAATTGGGAAAGAATTGTCAAGTCGGATTAATCCGAAATCACTTAGAAAGATGAGAGACGGTAATTTGACGGCGAAGGTTGAAACCAGAAACACGGGAAAATAAAGACCTTTCATAATGGGAATATTAAAACTTTACCTCACACAACTTTGAATGCATCAAAGAAAGAGATTAGAAGTAAAGACATCTCCGCCTATACCAGAAGAAATTTCATCTGTCTTGGGTAGCCAGGGAATCTCTGATTACTGAAAAATTTAGTCATCACAGAGATAGCTGTAGGGGTCGACCTACATGCGCAAAATATGGCCAAAAAGACTCTGATCCAAGTAAAGGTGAGTGCCAGGAATAGATTATATGCGAAGATTGCCAGGGAAAACATCCAGCTTACTCTTGAACTTATGGGTAATGAAAGAAAGAAAAAGAGACTACAGAAGTGAAATATAAAAGGAATATTTACTTTAAAGAAGCAAATTAGTAGTTGAAGGAGAAATGTGGGGCCTTTCCTACGCAAGAATAGTGGATAGGACAGGTCCAAATAACTCCAATCAGTATAGGGAATCGGCCTATCTATCTATCTATCTATCTATGTATTTATCTATCTATCTATCTATCTATCTATCTATACATATATATATATATATATATATATATATATATATATATAATACTATTAATGAATATTTGTTTATCTATATGTCCTTCATTTCACTACTTATCTAGATTTGTCTATTATTATAGTCTGCACCTATCTATCTATCTATCTATCTATCTATCTATCTATCTATCTATCTATTTAAGCCTGTTCATGTTTATATAAATGTGTCTCACTGGGTTCATGTCTGTCTTCTTCTCTATATATGTTTGAGTCGGTTCATATCTATTACTGTAATTTTATATATATGTATGTAGACAGACAGAAATGAGTAGACTTACAGAGACAAACAGTAAACGGCTGATTATCTATCTATCTATCTATCTATCTATCTATCTATCTATCTATCTATCTATCTATCTCAGCCTGTTCACATCTATCTATCTATCTATCTATCTCAGTCTGTTCACATCTATCTATCTATCTATCTATCTATCTATCTATCTATCTCAGTCTTTTCATATCTATCTATCTATCTATCTATCTATCTCAGTCTGTTCATATCTATCTATCTATCTATCTATCTATCTAATACTATTAATAAATATTTGTTTATATATATATGTCCTTCATTTCACTACTTATCTAGTTTTGTCTATTATCATAGTCTACGCCTATCTATCTATCTATCTATCATTCAAAAAGAATGAAAACACCTAAATAAACGCTGTAAATGCCTAAAGCCCAAGTCTTTTCGAGAAATTGAAAGAGATAAAAGTAGATAACCAAAACCCACAAACACCTAAAACTTCTAAATTAAAAACTAATAAACCATAAACACAAGAATACAAGTATGTATAAAATCATACAATGGAACTGCCGTGGAATGAGGTCAAACATTAACGAGCTGCTCCTGTAGTCTCCGGCAGTTATCTGCTTTCAGGAAACCTTTCTTAAGAGGGATGATGAAATAAATATTATCGTATGATAGTTTGATAAATAGCTGTTAGTTTTCGGCTAAAATTCGGATAATATTCGTTACCCGTCCTATTTTCTCTTCTATTCGTAAGGACGTCCCCACCCCCATCCATCATGTTTAGTCATTTATCAATATAACTGTATTTGTGGACTCGACTACATAGGGAGGACGTCCCAACGTTTCAATTTGAGAATAAAACAACACTTACCACCCAGGATTTTGAATCCGGATGCCAGGAAAATACAACTAATCAATACATCTGGCTCTGCTATTGCTGAGCATGAAATAAATAGCAGGAATTGTATGGTTGATTGTTGTGGTGAGTGTTTTTGATTTTATCTAGGTCCCACTCCTCATATCACCTCAAGGTTCTAGAGTCCTTGTATATCAGATCCCTTGAGCCTTCCCTTTGTAAACAGAGGTAATGCTTACTAGCTCTGAATGTTATTGGACTCTAGTTTTCTTGAAATTCATATTTACATTTTTCTCTTCCATTCGTTAATTTAATTTAGACAACATATATATATATATATATATATATATATATATATATATATATATATATATATATATATCCCAGAAAATAAACTTGATAAGGCTGGGACGAAACCGTTTGTTCTTTTTTAGCTTTTTAAAATGTCATATAAATTTTGCCTTTTCCTAGCTATCGTTAAATTTTGTACCACAAAAAAATTATTTAATTATTATAGAATACCAGCAATACAATACAATTATATAAATGACACTTGTCTTCGGGCATCAGGACGTACATCCATCTTAGTCAGGAATGATGTTCCACAAAGTCGGATGAACCTAAAAACAAAATTACAGGCAATAGCTGTAGAAGTAACGCTATACAGACCAATTAACATCTGTTCGGTGTACATCCCACCATATAAAGAGATAACTGAAACCGAATTGCAGGAAATTATATGGCGACACCCTGCTCCCTTTATGCTGCTAGGGTATTTTAATTGTCCCAGCACCATATTGGGGGTGAAAAATACAAACCAGAAATGAAAGAGTATGGAATCTGTTATAAATAACAATGATTTGTCTATCTGTAACGATAAATCCCCAACTAATATATATCCATTGTCTGACAATTACTCTGCAATCGATTTATCTTTCTGCGATCTATCTATCTTTATGGATTTTTCCTCGAAGGTACTGATGGACACATGCAGTAGAGATCATTTTCCTGAAAGGTACTGATGGACACGTGCGGTAGCGATCATTTTCCTGGAAGGTACTGATGGATACATGAGGTAGAGATCATTTTCCTCGAAGGTACTGATGGATACATGTGGTAGAGATCATTTTCCTCGAAGGTACTGATGGATACATGAGGTAGAGATCATTTTCCTCGAAGGGACTGTGGAGACATGTGGTAGAGATCATTTTCCAACTGGTCTGAAAAAGTCAGAGCAAAGTGGCAAAAATCTCCAATGTTGGAAATTAAGCAAAACAAACTGGGAGGAATTTCAAAAGCTATGTTCTGAAAAGGTAGGAGGAATATGCATCAAGGGCATAACGCAGTTTTCAGAAATCCTGCTCTCTATAGAAATGAATCCCAAACGATAAAATAAAAAAAAAAATAGTAACAGACCTTGATTTAATGAAGAGTGTAAAAAGGCTCTGTCTATATTTCTGAGATGAGGTATTATGTACATTATTTACATTGCTCGGACAATTGTCCTCATCTTTGTCGCCATATTTATTACAACGTTTCGGCCTTTCAGTATCTGTCTATATTTCTGAGATAAGGTATTATGTACATTATTTACATTGCTCGGACAATTGTCCTCATCTTTGTCGCCATATTTATTACAACGTTTCGGCCTTTCAGTATCTGTCTATATTTCTGAGATGAGGTATTATGTACACTATTTGCGTTATTCGGACTATTGTCCTTATCTTTGTCGCCATATTTATTACAACGTTTCGGCCTTTAAGTATCTGTCTATATTTCTAAGATGAGGTATTATGTACACTCGTACGTTGCTCGGACTATCATCCTTATCTTCGTTGCTATGATTATCACAACGTTAACCTGGTATTAAACTCACACACTTTGTGACACATGGCACAGTGGATAAAGGCGTTAGTTAGATCCAATGACAGGACCCAAAGAGTGTGAGTTCAATATCCGGTTAAGGCAGTTGAGAACTTGGAGAGGGGAATTAACAGAAGATAACTGATAACTGACATCAGTTACACATGGCACGTGGAACTAGAACAGTCTACCCCAGTGTTGTGGAGTGGTTTCACAGTGGAGGTTTGTATTTGTACTAAGTCGGTTCTAAAATAGGTTCGACGTACAAAACGTTAGGAACTTGATATAATAGGTAATGACGCAGAGAAATCTAGTGGTGGTTGCTGATACTTTAGTATCCGACTAACGGTTGTCCGGTATCGACTGACTGACCGAATCACTGACGGACAGAATCAACAATTTGTTAACTCTAAACAAAAAGTTGAATAACAAAAACAATGAACTTTAAATCCAATAATGCCGAGAGCTGTAACCTTCCATTTGCAATAGAGGAATTGAATGAATCTTTAAAGAAAACCCATAGTACAGCTGTGGGAACAGACAATATATAATTATCAATTCCTAAATTAGCTGCCAAACAAATTGCTGCAAATTTAGCTTAAACTGTTTAATAATATACAGACAAGTGCCCACTTCCCAGATTTGTGGTGATAGTCTTTCATCTTTCCTATTCCAAAACTTCTGAAGGATGAATCATGATATAATGAATATGCATACACCTGGGCTCCCCCTCACAGTAATATGCTTGGCTGGTGTCAGCCATAAATACAGACTGATATGGAGGTACATGACCTACGCCTATGGCCTACGCCTATTGTCTACGCCTATTGCCTACGCCTATTGACTAAGCATATTGCCTACGACTACGACGATTACGGCTACCTGCTAGATTGTCCTAACCGGTTACGGTAGCCAAAACCACTTAGCTACTTCGAACTAAGATGTCCTTTTCCGGAACATATCAAATTAGAACCTGGAGATTACAGGCCAATAGTTGTCTGTGAAAAACCATGAAAAAAATGGTCAACAGCAGATTGACTTGGTATTTAGAAAATAAAGGCCTAATCAGTGACTACCAATGGAAACCATTCAGGAAAAAACAGAAATACAATGGATCACTTAAAGCAGTTAGAGACTTTGTGAGGATAGCATTTTTTTTTTCAGAAGGAACATTTCACGGCGATCTTTTTCGACTTAGAAAAAGCCTATGATACAACATGGAAGTTCAGCATATTAAAAGATCTAAATAAAACGGGCCTAAGAGAGAAACCGACAGAATTCATAGGGAACTTCCTAAAAAATCGAAATTTTCAAGTCCGGATAGGAAGTACACACTGGGAGATACAAGAACAAGAGGAAGGAATTCCATATGGAAGAATTCTATCAGTGACGCATTTTGCGTTAAAATCAATTCCATAATTAAATCTCTAGGCCAAATAGTTAAATGCTCCATCTATATTCATGATTTCTTAATCATGTACAAACCTCAACATATGAATACAATAGAAAGGTAACTTCAGCAAAACTTAAATAAAATAAAGAAATGGGCCGTGGAAAATGGGTTTACGTTTTCTAAAACGAAAACTAAATATACACATTTCTACAAATTACATGATGATCCACATTAGATGAAGCAGAAATTTCAGTAGTCGAACAGCACAATTTCCAAGGGGTAATCTTTGATACGAAACTAACTTTTATCCCTCATCTGACGTATTTGAAAACAAAATGTATCAAAGTCCTAAACTTCTGCGTGGAGTGGCTCATACTGAATGGGGAGCTGATCGGTAAACTCTGATCAAACTATTTAGATCAATATTCCATTCCAAAGTAGATTATGCTAATTTTATATATGGAGGAACCAGAAAGTGGTACATGGAAATCTTCGATGCCACTTACCATCAAGGGCTCAGATTAGTGCCAGGGGCTTTTAGAACATGCTCGGAGGAGAGCTTATATACAGAAGCTGGTGAGACCTCTCCACATCTACCACTTATTAAACTGGCATTGCGGTATTATGTAAAAATTAAATCATGCCCAACAAATCCAGCTTATAGAGCTACATTTGATTCAAAATATTGCGATTAATTCCGTCATACAGAAAATGCCATACAACTATATGGACTTAGGATGAAAATCCATTGCTGAAGAATTAGTTACTTCATTATCAAATGTACAAGAAACAACAGTATCCAGTATTTTACTATGAACAATTAAAGACCCTCAAGTCATTCTTGAAATACATGATTTTCCAAAGGGAAAAAAACTCACCCTCTGACATTTCTGGACAGATTCTAGGAAATACTGGAAATTTCCATGACTATTCAACAATCTATAGAGACGGGTCAAATAGTGGGGAGAAAATAGGGTGTGCAGAGGTAAACCCCAAAATTACCAAAAAGAAACGCCCCACCCAAGGAAGTTCGATTTTACTGGAGAGGCGTAGGCAATCGATTTAACTTCAGAAGTTATTTCGGAAACCAAACTAAAGAACTTCCTAATTCTTTCAGACTCACTGTCTTATCAGATTTAGAGGGGAACATATCCAACAATCCAATGATCAGGAAAATAGTGGATAAAATCAACACAATGAACGAAAAGAAAAATATAATATCATATTGGATCCGTAGCCACATGGAAATAAAAGGTAACTGTAGAGCTGACCTTGCAGCCAAATTAGTTTTG